TTTGTCAGTGTACATCCATGGCAGTAGTCACGCGTCGCGCCAAACGTGATGCTTTGCGTCATGACTTTGCTTTCGCCGGCACGGGTTTGCCGCAGGTCCTTTCCCTTCACCGAGTTCTCGCCTTTTTTGTTCTTCGCAGTGAACGTGTCGCGAAGGAACATGATGGTTTGTTCGAGTGAAAGGCTCTTTCTATCGCTTTCCGCTGGCGCCGGAGCTGGTGGTGAGCTTTCCGCAACTGTGACAGGTTTTGAATGCACAGTGTCTGGCACTGGTATTCGATTAGGACTAGCACGCACTGATTTCCCGGACAACATGTCAGAAAGCATGCTGACTGCTACGAACATCACCTCCTTCCTCCCATTCAACGGCTTCCTCCCAGCTACCCCTGTCTGCAACGCTTGGAGACGATTAGCAACCTGCCTTTTAGTCTCATCTATCAGTTCGTAGCAACGCGCTTCGTCCGAAAGCGACACACGAGACTTCTGCAGCAATTTTGTAACACCAGTCGTCAGAAGACCACGGTCCAGCAGCTTAACGCAGTGCAACAGGCCTGCAGATACATCATACGCGTCCTCTAGTCGGCCCCAGTAAATATACTCGGTTGTCGAAACTAGACCTAGAGCGACTAGCCAACCGCGTAGAGCGAAATACGTATGCTGCTGTTCCTTCGTCCGACCCGTATCGGACCTTCTCCACAACTGAAACCGCGACCAGACTTCCATGCCGGAATCACAATGGGCCTTGAATTTTTTCTCCAATTTGGTTAATCTGCAACCGACGGCACCACCGTGCTTCTCGCCGTGCTTGTGCAACACATCCGAGAGTACCATATGGGGAAGATCCTCAAGAGTGCGAATAGCGCTCTGCCATTCCGAAAGTTCCAGGTACGAGGAATCGCCACTTCCACTCCATGAATATTCCAGCGCCACGCCTTTTGTAACGCGCCACAGTTCCTGGGGCGTGCGCTTTTCGAAAGAAACTTTCAGGCTGGCCGTTGTTAAAGCTTGAGCAAATTCCGCCACAGCGCGACTTCGACAGCCTTCAGCATCGACGGGCGCGGACAAGAGCATCAGAAGCTTGCAAGCTTCACTAGTGGCGTCAGGGACTATTTCCGTCTTTGCCAAGAGCCAGGTAGTTGTTGTTTTTTGCAGAACGCCGAAGTCCAGTAACAATCTTCGAATCCCACTCAAGTGCAGACTACTTTCGTCATCACCTTTTTGTCCCGCCGAGTCACTTTCGGTGCCTTTGGAGCCCCCAGCAGTGTTCTTCGAGCTACTGCTATCGGCGCTAGGGTCTCCGGACTCAAACTGCTGCAACACCTGCTCCCGAAGCGTCGTAGTCCGTCCACAAATTCTGATGCTCTGCGCTGCCAGCTTCGCAAGCTCAGGCGGCAGTGTCGCGCTGGACATCAGTCCTGCAACAGTGACACAGAGATCTTCCAGCTTTGCACCCCGAAAAGGAAAGCGGTCGCGGTTTCCGAACTCATCCTGCTGCCACATCTCTCGGAGCGTTGTACTTCGTCCACGAATTTGGATGCTCTGCGTTGCCAGCTTCTCAAGCTGAGTCGGCAGTCTACCGCCGGAAACTAGTCCTGCAACAGTAGCACAAAGCTCCTCCAACTTTGCACCTGGAATAGCAGAGCACGCGTTGGGGCCGTCGGACCTGTTCGGCTCGCTGGTGGTGCGCAGTGGAGATGCAGGTGCAACTAGTACGCCCGTCGCGTGCGCTTCTTTCTTCGCACGCTTAGCGGACGGCTCTCCGATGGAGCGCTGCAGTAGGTTCGATTCCGCGCCGGAGCCCTCCTGTGCCGGTCGGAGCGCGCTGCTTCGTATCGGCTGAATGCCGTCGAAAAACTTCGTGAACTCCTCCAACGAGACATTGAATTGGCCCTGGGACAAACCACCCAGGACTTCCTCTGTAACGTTCTTTGGGCCTTCCAGCTTCAGAAACGCCTCCAGCCGGCTTTGCCAGTACATGCGATTTTCCCGGGGAATTGACATGTAGTGCTCAATCGTTCCAGCTTCCCGAGGCTTCCGCGCTATCTCGAAAATAGCCAAAAACTTTCTAACGCGGTCGCTGCAAATGCAAAGCCTTCCGTCTACTCTGCTTTTTTCGTCGGAGAAAATAGAGGTGCCTTTCTTGAAGAACATCCCTCTCGTGCGCTGTGTTGCGTGCTTCTCTTTGCTTATTCGGTAGTACGTATCCATTATCGTGAAGAGCGTCTCGCCGCCAACGGTGCCCCGGACTCGTGTGCAAATCGCGTAGACATCGTCGCGCTTGACCTTTTGCCCCGCGTCCTGGAAGCAGGTCTGTCCGATGTCAAGTTGGTCTGCGTGGGAGTCCAGCTCTTTCAGCGTCGACCTAATTTCATCCGCCGTTGGAATCTCCTGACCTTCAGCGAAGTACGAAGCTGGTACTTCGTCACGTTTCAGCAGCTGTGCCATGAACTCAACGATCTTCTCACCGCGCATGTCCTTATTCTGAGCAGCCTCGAGCGTATCACTGAGAAGTACTTTCCCAGTGGCCATGCTCATGAGCAAGGCGAGGCGACGCTCCGCGCGTTTTGTCAGAACGACTCGAAGCTGCGTCGGGACACCCATATCCTCTGCGCGGTCAAGCAGCTCGTGGCGCATCCGCGTAATTGAGTCGACTTCGGGAAAACCCTCCGCGCGTCCATGATTGCGCAGTCGCTGCAGCTCGTCTTTGAGCGAAACCGTTACGCACGCCCGCTGTTCTTTCCCGAACGTCAGTCCCGATTCGCTGAGCTCCCGCTCGATCAAGACAACTTTCTTGCTTTTGCTCACGTCATCTCCCTTCTTGCCTGTCACCCAGGATGCATACACCGTGCACCACCAGAGAAACAGGCGCATAAATTCCTTCTCATCCTCCGGAACATACATTTTGATTTTTGCGAATTGGTTGGTACATTGACTAGACGATGAGAATGAGATTCGGGAAAAGAGATATAGCTAAATCAAAATGTTCGAAGCGATTGATCCGACAGGGACGATCAGAGAGATCAATCTCTTTCCAGCAAAGATCTGTTCATAAGTTGCGCACTGTTACTTTTCTTACAACCTCAGAGAGAGTGGCGGTTTTTCTAAATGCTTATGCTTCCTCCTAGGCAGCGGGTAGTGCCTAGGTGCCACGAAAAGGATCTTGAAATCTTTCTGACGAAAAAATACGCGGATCGGTGGTCGCCAGATAATATGATCGAGTAAAGCATGGTTGTGACACGACATAGACATCATCGCCGCTGTACCTGCGTGACCATGACTCAATAGATTCAAAGGCCAACACGACTGATGGAAAGTCAAAGTCGAGATACTAGTCAGAATGACAAAAACCTGACTCGTGCGGCTCAATCGTGGCCGTGGCACAGCATTTCTTCTCAAAAATTCTGCCACGACGACACTTCACAAAACACACAGATCTGCGCCCCTTGGACTTCTCCATATTGCCATGCGGTTGCGGACTGAAGAGATTACTATGCCATGTTGACTGAATGAGAATGGAAACGTCACAGATGAGAGGCGGAGTCAGTTAGGATCGCAGGCTCTCTCCCCCCCGGAGGGTGAGTAGCTATTTCTCCTCAAAATTTGTTGCCTCAGTGTCGAGCCTCACAGTCAATGAGAGTCCGAGTTTCTAGCACCAGGACACTCATCACAGACCCCCTTCCTCGTCACTGCTGCTCAGCTCCACCACATCCCAACCCTCCCAATACGGGGCGTGCGCGGGCGGTACGGGAAACCCAAGGTCTTCCAAGGCAATCAAAAACGCCGCCAGCGCGTTTGCGCCCTGGTTCTTCCGCGTCCTCAGGCCGGGCAACGCAGAATGCGTAAAGAAAATCAAGCAAAAGCGCTCGCCTTCAAACGGCATGGTCCCGTGGATGTGCTCCCGCGCGTCGAAGCGGCGCGGGGTGTTTTCGACACAGAACTCGCGACCGATTATGTACTTGCCGCCGCAGGGGGCGCTTCCGTAGAATTTTGGCCACCGCTCTTCCTTGCCGTACATGCGCGTTTTCTCGGCGGGGCTCTCGACGATGCTCTTCGGAACCAGCAACCGCACGACCCGCCCGTCCTCGGGCTCGTGGACTGGCGCCAAATCGGCCCGATGTTTCACGTCGCTGAGTTTCAGTGCAGGATCGTGCACGAAAAGGCCGCCACCAACAAAGTCGCCCATCGCGATCACGCAGCTATCGCCGATGTTCCCACTATCCCGGTGCGGGTATGTGAATGCGTTTTTGTAGACGTTGACGGAACTGTAGGAAAACTTCTGGTTGGAATTTGGCTGCGCGGAAGCCTCTTGTTGTCCTTTGAGACGAACAGTTTGGATCTCGTCGAGCAGGCGGCAGAAGAACTCGTTCACCAGCACACAGACCGGCCGGCCGCTGGCTGCTTTCATCTTCGCCGTGTCCTTTGTCAGTGTACATCCATGGCAGTAGTCACGCGTCGCGCCAAACGTGATGCTTTGCGTCATGAC